ATAACCTCGATAGTATTACTCTAGCCGATGTCTGGTTGAATCCAATTATAACCTCGATAGTATTACTCTAGCCGATGTCTGGTTGAATCCAATTATAACCTCGATAGTGTTTCTCTAACTGATGTCTGGTTGAATCCAATTATAACCTCGATAGTGTTTCTCTAGCCGATGTCTGGTTGAATCCAATTATGCAGTATTTCTCTAGCCGATGTCTGGTTGAATCCAATTATGCAGTGTTACTCTAGCCGATGTCTGGTTGAATCCAATTATGTAGTTTTAATCTAGCCGACGTCTGGTTGAATCTGAGTTCAACATAACTCTGCTGTTATTACATTAAACAACTGTGTACTTAAAACCAAACAATCTATTGGTGTTACATTAACCATTGTCCAGTTGAAATCAAATATAATCCCATCAATGTTACCTTAACAGGTGTCTACTTGAAACCAGACATAACCCTACTGGTGTTACCTTAACTAATGTCCCGTTGAAACCAAGCATAACCCTACTGGTGTTACCTTAACAAATGTCCAGTTGATACCAGACATAATCTTACTGGTGTTACCTTGACTAATGTCCAGTTGAAACCAGACATAACCCTACTGGTGTTACCTTGACTAATGTCCAGTTGAAACCAGAAATAACCCTACTGGTGTTACCTTGACTAATGTCCAGTTGAAACCAGAAATAACCCTACTGGTGTTACCTTGACTAATGTCCAGTTGAAACCAGAAATAACCCTACTGGTGTTACCTTGACTAATGTCCCATTGAAACCAGGCATAACCCTACTGGTGTTACCTTGACTAATGTCCCGTTGAAACCAGGCATAACCCTACTGGTGTTACCTTAACCAATATCCAGTTGAAATCAGACATAACCCTACTGGTGTTACCTTAACCAATGTCCAGTTGAAACCAGACATAACCCTTCTACTGTTACATCTGTTGTTTTACAGAGCCCAATACCTCTAGTAGATTTATTGTGTGGTATCGAAATGAGACGACGCTACTTGTATAATATAATAACCAAACATAACCCTTCTACTGTTACATTAACCAATGTCCATTTGAAATCAAACTATAAATTGTCATTGTTACATCTGTTGTTTTACAGAGCCCAATACCCCTGGTAGATTTATTGTGTGGTATCGAAATGAGACGACGCTACTCGTATTATGGCAACCTCCTTACCCTTCTGGTATTTTTGACCAGTATAAAGTGAGTATCCAGCCACCTGATGCTATTCAGTCAGATTTATATGTAGACAAGGAAGGACAACCTCTAGGACCAGCACAGGCTGCTTTCTGGGGTCTTGTTCCAGGAAAAGCATACAATATATCAGTTCAGACTGTCAGTCAGAATCAGATTAGTGACCCTACAGAGGCCACGTACAGAACAGGTAATATTACATTGAATTAATAAGAAATAACACCTGGTTCACTGTAAAGACACTTGTAGAATTATCTATATAAAAAATTAACAATGAAAAGTGTGAGAGTTAGTAATATATAATTACAATAATATCCAAAATTATTATAGCTACTAATGTTTATGAAACTAACTTTAAGAAACTTACAATATATAATTACTTACAAAATACATAAAAACCAGTTTTTTTGCTTGCATGTTATGTCAATGATTTCTTAGAAAACTAGTCCTATGGAAACCTTCATGACCAATGGACTTAATGAAAAACACTTGTATGTATAGTTTAATAAATCACGGCATTAAATATATGTATGTAAGTGTATATTATTGTTGATTTTAATCTTAAGAAATTGAGTTGACTGAATTCCAGATTTTAGATAAAATCATGAGTTTCTGATCATGAAGTAAATAGGAACATTGATTAAATTGAAAATTTATGCTACAAAATACATTACTATGAATTATATTCTGTGCAAAGTATTAAGTAGCAGTTCAGCCTACTCAGTAGTAGTAGTATGTTTTTACTAAGCCCTTGTTCACAGGTATTGAGTGGAGTATTGTGACAGTAAGCTAGTTGTTTAGCCTACTTAGTAGCATGTTTCTACTAAGTCCTTGTACACAGGTATTGAGTGGAGTATTATGACAGTAAGCCAACAGTTTAGCCTACTTAGTAACATATTTTTACTAAATCCTTGTTCACAGGTATTGAGTGGAGTATTATGACAGTAAGCCAACAGTTTAGCCTACTAAGTGACATATTTTTACTAAGCCGTTGTTCACAGGTATTGAGTGGAGTATTATGACAGTAAGCCAACAGTTTAGCCTACTTAGTAACATATTTTTACTAAATCCTTGTACACAAGTATTGAGTGGGGTATTATGACAGTAAGCCAACAGTTTAGCCTATTCAATGGTGTTTTTTTTTTACTGAATTGTCATGTACAGGTAATGAGGGAATGAAAGTATAATAAATTAATCATTTAGCTAAATAAATACAACATTATAGATTGTATCTGTATCTCCATATTTTCTGGAGTTTCTGGGAAAGCTTGTTCAAATCTCCTAAGGAAATAGAAATGGAATGCTTTAATCATATTTCATTTCTTTACGGATGTTGGTTCATGCAGTGTTTATTATTGGTTCTTCTAGTTCCCCTTCGACCTAGCAACATAAGCTTTCCTCCTGAAGCAGTTGCTCCTTACTCCTTCAGCGTCTTATGGTCTCCACCCAAGACTCCTTCAGAATTTGATCGATACCAAGTTGCCATGAGTGGAAGAAACATCAAGTGGAAAGTGGTTGGTAAAGATGAAGACAGGATTGCCACCTTTAGCAAGGATCTCAAACCTGGACAGACATACGAGGTTATTGTAAAGACTGTCAGTGGCAATGTTGCCAGTTGGCCAATTACTGGCAATGTTACAACACGTAAGTTTACGTTTGAGGCGTTAGCAGCTGTGTCGCTTCAGTATCAGTGTGGTATGTAGCCATTTGATGGCAACATTACCTCTGCTGACGAAACAGATCTTTTATTACTTGGTATTTATTAAATTGCTGTTTCTCATAATACAAAACATCCAACAAATTTGACTATGCACACAGAATGACCCAAGTCATTTTCCCTAAATAATCCCATAAGAACATAATTATCACAAAAACTGTATAATAGACAAAAATTCTTAGTAACAAACTTTAAAAAATTACCCTTCTCAAAAGAGTTTACAAATTAATGTGTCAGAAAACTTAAAAATTCAACTGTTCCTCACCTTTCCCTTCCAATCAATATATTGTGTTGTCCATACTCAATCTCCTTCTGACCACTTTATTATATCTTATCTGTATAGTGTATCTAGATCCTCTCTCCTGACCAAGTTATTATATTATGTCTACACAATCTTCTTATAAACTATTATATTATAGCTTAGGATTAAGTAAGAAATCGTAAGCATATTATAGTAATTTACATGTTACCTTAAGAAATTACTAAAGTTAAATGTTACAAGCTGTTACTTCAGACATATCAGTAAAGTTGCATGTTACAAACTGTTACCTGTTGCAGTATCAACAGCAACAAAATAGAAGCAAATCAAATGCAATTGCTAAACAGGGAAAAATTATAGTTTTACAACTGAGTAATAGTTAATGCCAGGTTTTATTTTTTAATAAAGAAAACTTTGTTGATTTTTCTCCTATTTATTGTATTATTTTTTTATCAAACGAAATAAGTGTTTGTTTTGAGCCATGTCCTCAGACATAAAGAGACTTTTAAATGTCGAGTCTTGTCAACAGGTTTCTTCAACATGGGAATTACACATCCTTACTTATAATATGTTACATGAATCCTGAAGTGTTCTTGTCAACAAATTTGTGTGATACAACTTAACCTTATTGTTTTGCTGTTATAAAAATTTTACATCTAAATTCAGTTTGTATTCCTTAGTTCTTTTTAACCAAGATTTTAAGATGACATAAGAAAACCTAGGGATATACAGTGCAGCCCAATAAAAAGATAGTTTTTATGAATTTTTGATTGCACTTTCAGGTTGTGATAACAACGTTTTACTTATAACTGTGAGAGGATGTAACTTAAGTTGCGATTTTAACACATTTACCTCTGTTGAAAAAGTCTGATGAGTGGAGCAAGTATTTTTAGCTCTTTGAAAGAGGTTCTGATGATTCCTACTTTTTTATGTACAGGATCATGGAGATATATACTTTTGCATGTGTCTTTACAAAATATAAATTCTAAGGTCTGTTTTGGGTTTATGATGTACTTTTTCATATATCATGCTTAGATTACTCTGTGTAAAATTAAAATGCTTTATTGTAACAGGTAAAAGTTTTATTACATTTATTTATAGAAACTCTGTTATTTGTGATAATAAAACGATTCATTCTAACAGATAAAAGTATTTATTACACTATAAAAATAAATGTTTAAATTCAGTATTTTCAAGTGTTCATCTATTGTTTGTGTTAATCAAAAGCTATTTTTCTCATCTTTAAACTGTTGAAGATATTTATCTAATGCTGTAATTCTCATGTTTAAACATATGTTTATATAGAACCGTTAACTGTTGAAGATGTTTATGTAATGCTGTAATTCTCTTGTTTAACCATATGTTTATATAGAACCATTAACTGTTGAAGATATTTATGTAATGCTGTAATTCTCATGTTCAAACATGTGTCTATATAGAACCATTAACTGTTGAAGAGCTAAATGCAACTTCTGATGAGATAGGAGAAATCTGGTTGACATGGCAACCAAGCAATGACAGCATTCAGGACTCTTATGTGGTATTTTTTCTTTTTGTTTACTTCACCTGTTTACCCACACAAACAACTTTTACATGAACATAAACTCTGTATTCTCTTTTAATAATCCTATAAATGTAGGAAATAAATGTTAATTTTTGCTTAAATCTTGGAAACAGATAAGATTGAACATATTTAAGCTTTCTTCTTTCTTTTGTTTTGATCTTAGAAACACAAAAAAGAAACTTAAGAATATGATGAACACCAATTTCTGGTATTAAAAAATTTCTTAAGCAGTTAACTCATCTGAAATTTATCAAGACAGGACATTTACTGGTAGTTGCTAAGTTATACCATTATTCTTAATAATGAAAATAAACTCTAAAAATATGAAGTCAAATATAAGTTGGTGTATAATGAGTAAAGTCACACAAACTTGGATAAATCCACCAAAAATACAGAATTTTACAAACTGTCACTTTGAGAAATGTACTTGAGTAAGGAAGAACATTATGCTAATACCATAATAAACTGGCAAATAGAAATTTATAAGCATAATGAATTGGTTTATTTTGGGGGGAACATGTTTCGACAAAAGATTGTTTTGTCATCTTTATACCTATGTTCATACAAGGCAATGTTCTGTCGAAGTATGCAGTATGTTCTACCCAAAAATACACTACTTCAGTGTGGTTATAAATTATTGTTTGTCAATTTATTATTCTAAGAAATGTGTTACTAACTTTTGTTAGTCTTCCCTGGAATCTGTGCAAGGCTTAAGTTACTATTTTCAGATTAAATACCATGAGCAAGAAGCCTTTAACAGTGATGGAAGTGCTGAAGTGGTGAGAGAAACAGAATACAAGTTAAACCACTTGTTGCCAGGGAGAAACTATTCTGTTACAGTTTTAGCTGTCAGTAATAATGTAGGAAGCGAGCCAGCTACTGTCTATCAAACTACACGTAAGTTTTGTATTGTTTACCCTTTATCTGTGTCGGTTTATCCTGTGTTCTGTATCCATGTAGGTTTATCCTGTGTTCTGTATCCATGTAGGTTTACCCTGTGTAGTGTTATCCACGTAGGTTTACTCTGTGTAGTGTTATCCACGTAGGTTTACCCTGTGTAGTGTTATCCACGTAGGTTTACCCTGTGTAGTGTTATCCACGTAGGTTTACCCTGTGTGCTGTATCCACGTAGGTTTACCCTGTGTGCTGTATCCACGTAGGTTTACCCTGTGTAGTGTTATCCACGTAGGTTTACCCTGTGTGCTGTATCCACGTAGGTTTACCCTGTGTAGTGTTATCCACGTAGGTTTACCCTGTATACTGTATCTGTATAAGTGGCATGGAGAACAGTGTCTCAGGTACGTCATTAGTGTTATGAAGAAGAGTGGTTATTGATGCAGAAATTAAGTATTCTAATTGGCCAGCCTGGACTCCTCAACTTAAGAAAAATCATTGTGTTTGGCCAGCCAAAAACCTTTACTTGAAGTAACTAAACTAATCATTCTCATAGACTAGTCCAGAAACCTGACCTAAAGCAACCAACCGTTCTGGTAGACTAGCTCAGAACCCTGAACTAAAGCAACCAAACATTCTGGTAGACTAGCTCAGAACCCTGACCTGAAGTGACTAACCATTCTGGTAGAGTAGCTCAGAACCCTGAACTAAAGCAACCAAACATTCTGGTAAACTAGCCCAGAACCCTGACCTTAAGCGACTAACCATTCTGGTAGACTAGCCCAAAACCCTGACCTGAAGCGACTAACCATTCTGGTAGACTAGCTCAAAACTTTGACCTGAAGCGACTAACCATTCTGGTAGACTAGCTCAAAACTTTGACCTGAAGCGACTAACCATTCTGGTAGACTAGCTCAAAACTTTGACCTGAAGCGACTAACCATTCTGGTAGACTAGCTCAAAACCCTGACCTGAAGCGACTAACCATTCTGGTAGACTAGTCCAGAATCGTGACCTGAAGCGAATAATCATTTCGTGTAGTCTGCTCAGACCCAAAATCTAAATTAACCACTCTGAAACAACTAGGAATGGTGCCTCAAGGATGTTAAGAACAGTTTCTGATTTTCTTCTCAAGAATTGTGACATTCTATTTCACCACTAGTAGCAAGGGTGTGAATAGTACCAGAAGTGAACCAACACCCTATGGAAGTTGATCTTTTAGCAAGACCCAACATGTCTTCTGGAGGTGCATTGCTTTGTACCTTTGGTAGCATAGTGTTTATGGTAATGTTTTTTCTTTTTGTTGCATTTAAATAAAAACAATTTTATGTTGATGTTGAAGATACAGTGATTATTTAATAACATTCAATTCTTTAAAGCATCATTACTGCTCTCTTCTCTAAAGTTATGAAATGCTTAAAGTTGTCTTAGAAAACTCAACAACAAAAACTATTTATGATCTAGGCTATTTATTAACATTTTGATTGTTGTCCCACACCAGGCCCTGCAACACCTGTGATTGAAATCCTTGAACCATACAAGTCTGATCTGAATGTGTCATGGAAGTCTGACGTGACCAGCCGACAAGATTCTTATGCTGTGGTTTATTATAGAAACGACACCCAAGAGAGGAAGGAAGAGACAACTATGAATAACTGGTTGATTCTCGCTGGTTTATATCCAGGAGCTGGCTATCAAATAAAGGTGTATGCTGTGAGTCACGGCCTTCGAAGTGATCCACATTCTTACTTTCAAACTGTTCGTAAGTATTAAAACATTTGCCAATTAAAAGTTACTTATTTAAAACAAAATGGGTAACACGTATCTAAGTTTCTAAATCTGTAATGTTGTAAACACAAATTGAAATATTTCAAAGACCTATCACAAATATTATACATGTAAAACTGTTCATCTAAAGATTCCAAAGATACATTTACTCCCATTAATATAATTTATATAATCATTGTCGTACAATATTCTTTATGAATGATAACAGTGAATTGCAATAATGCATCTACTGCTAATGTTTCTGTAAAACACATTTTCTACATTAGTAAGAAAATTGTCAGGTGCAGTTAACAATGAATAGAAAATAAAAATAATTGTCTTCTTGGTATAGTTCATTCATAAAAACATAGTTTCCTGTTTTCATGTGTATATGTTTGTTAATTTCTGTTTTGCTTTTGGACAGAATATTGATCTGTTTACTAGATAAATAATCTCTCTGTAAGTGCTTAGTTCATGAACCTCTAATTTTCAACAATGTTTCCTGTAGCTCCTAAGTCACCTGAGAACTTCCAGATAGTAAAAGCAAGTAATTCTACCATGATCCTGACATGGAACCGTCCGGCTAATTCCCTCATAGACCATTATACTGTAAGATACAGACCAACAGACTCAACTTTCTGGAGGGAAATGGGTAGGAATAGATTACTTTCTTTCTTGACATATACAAAATATTAGAAATAAAGGAAGTTCACATGAATAAACAAAAAGAATATCAAGTTTGGTTATTTTGTTTTTATGTATGAAAAGCCTGAATCTATTTGAAAATGGAAATGAATAGATAGAAATAAAAGGGTTGTTTCCCATATTCATATGAATAGGTAGAAATAAAAGGGTTGTTTCCCATATTCATATGAATAGTTAGAAATAAAAGGGTTGTTTTCCATATTCATATGAATAGTTAGAAATAAAAGGGTTGTTTTCCATATTCAAATGAATAGATAGAAATAAAAGGGTTGTTTCTCATATTCAAATGAATAGATAGAAATAAAAGGGTTGTTTTCCATATTCATATGAATAGTTAGAAATAAAAGGGTTGTTTCC